TACAATCCACAATAAACAGTTGTGTTGTGCCCATAATAACAGCTTGACATCCACAAAAATCATAAAATAGTAATATTACAGATAATAAATACGGTAACAGACCACGGCATAAGGTACCAATGGCAGGAAGAAAGCCTCCCAGTTTATCCAAAGATGTCAATGTATTAAAACTGAAGGTCCTGCTGGCATTTCTTCTGTTCTGCAAATCCTGGCATTGAAACATTGATTTGGTATTTTACATTTTGACATTTGAAAATCTTTCTGGCGTCTAGTGTTACTGTTCCTTTGTTATCTTGTGACCATTGTATTCACTTGCTCTCTGATGTGTATTGGATTTTGTTCTTATATGTTCTCCTATACCATCTAGGGGCTTAGTGTTTCTTCTTGACCAATAGTGCGTTTTGAGGCCATGTGCCCACAATCTTCCTGGCATCCAGTGATTTCTGTATCTCATATTTATCACTGGTGGCCTTTTAAGGTTTGCCCAGTGTCATTAGGAAGTCTTTGGGGGTGATTTACTAACCTAAACACACGCACGCACCAGGTACGTGTGATTTTCACACAGCAAAATGAATTTATCAACCAAAAAGTCTCTAAAAGCATATTTCCACTAATGCCATATATGGAAAAATCATGCACATGATGCATATATAATGCTGCTTCACAGTTTAGACAAAAATGGTTAGCTCATGCATTTACATTCCTGCATTCATCAACGCAAGCAACACAACATAGAGCTAATTTACACAACATCACCTTGCAATTCATGCTTGGCTTTGCACAACACACCTGCTAGGTGTGTACACACTACAAAGGTGTTTAGATTCCACCCATAGATCATGCTGGGAGGGAACACACTACAGAGGTGTATACATGTTCGTGGTGTGTTTATAAGGTTAGTAAATCAACCCCTTTTTGTTCAATGTTTTTCCCTTTGTCCAGTATTGATCTTTCATGTCCAGAGCTGCTTAAGTAGTGATATTTCTAATATGATATTGTGCTCAGTGATGTCAGCATGGAATTCTTTTCTTCTGGCTGCAGATTATAACCACTTTCAATGCTGTAAGAAGAGATCTAGTGCTGGGCAAATAATTAAAGTCTGTATTCATTTCAAATGTGGCAGACAAGTATGAAATATTAAAAGTAGCTACTTAGGAAGTTTGGAGTGCCTTGCTTTTTGAGCTACCTGGCAGCCCCAGAAATTGGGCAGCAATAATATGCAAACATTGCCTGTAGATAGAAGCTTGGACCTTCAGCCATATCCACATATCACTATGATAGGCAGCTTTATTGGCCCATTGTAAAGCAAAGAGGTGGACCTAAGCTCATAATTTGCTAAGTAACCACCCTTTGGTATTCACAGCTGTTTTGCAAGGAATGTGAGCATTCGCCAGATACCTATGGGTGCCTGAATATTTCCTGCCTATTGAGAGCTTTCAAAATGCCAACAGAATCATGTACAGTATAGGCATGCTTTATCTGAAAAATAACCAAATGACTGCAGACAATGAAATAACAAACAAGCCAAGAGGCGTGTTTAAGTTCTCAGAACCCCAATTCTTTATTAACCACAGCTTGCTCACAATGACATACAGGAAATAGCACTAATGAAGAGTAGAATATGCAGGCAGCAATTTCAATGGGGCAATAAACAATTTCAAAATCGCAAGTATGTTCGACACTCGGCAGCTGTTAGGCAATTCCACACTTGGCACGTGCACCCTGTCTAATGATCCCTGTAGATTTATTCAGGTTTTGTTTTTTTTGCTTATAAAGGTAACCCTCATACTGCTGAGAAAAAGGCAAGTTTCTCCTGGTAGAACAAGTGATCTTACAGTCTTCACATAGAGGTGTTGTTAAGAGCATGTGTTATGTTGTAGAAAGAAAACCTTTAATGGCAACAGACATCATTAACGTGTTCAGTATAACAGATTTCAGGGCGCTATTGCTAGGAGAATAAGAGCCATTTTTGCATATTGGGGGGGTCCCTGTGAAACATTGTTGCTTCATCTTTTTTTCTATTTCTACTGGTGTATGTGAAAGTTATTGTGTTGAAAACAAAACCCTATTTGCCTATTGGCTAAATTTCACTTAATGACCAAAGAATTCTAATGGACCTCATGGCCGAGGGTGTCTGAAGAAAGTCCTAGTTATCCAAGGTTAACCAATCAGATCTCCTGCTTTGCCTTCCCATGCAGCACTAAAGACTTTACAAAGAAATATCTGAGTGGTAGCTATACCAAGGCTCTTCATTTAGACTTTAAACATAAAGCCCAAGTGACACCTACTGTCTGTCTGCTACAAATGATATAAATTCATGGATTAGCAGTTTAGCCTACACTGGAAACCACTGTAACGTTGTACCATGACACACAAGAAAAGGAGATTTTCATCATTTTTCTGACACAAAGAATCTGTATGGACAACAACATGTAGTAACATCATTGTACTCGGGATAGAAAGACTGAATTAACAAAGTGGAAAGATTATATAATATGTGCTATGGCTCAGTGATAGCCGGCCTTCCTACCACCACCAACCTTGTGAGTACTTGTACCTAGGTTACGTTCCAAAGAAAAACAGCAGGAAATGAGATTATCAGATCAGACATGGAATGCTAATCCAGTGATTTCTGTATCTCATATTTATCACTGGTGGCCTTTTAAGGTTTGCCCAGTGTCATTAGGAAGTCTTTGGGGGTGATTTACTAACCTAAACACACGCACGCACCAGGTACGTGTGATTTTCACACAGCAAAATGAATTTATCAACCAAAAAGTCTCTAAAAGCATATTTCCACTAATGCCATATATGGAAAAATCATGCACATGATGCATATATAATGCTGCTTCACAGTTTAGACAAAAATGGTTAGCTCATGCATTTACATTCCTGCATTCATCAACGCAAGCAACACAACATAGAGCTAATTTACACAACATCACCTTGCAATTCATGCTTGGCTTTGCACAACACACCTGCTAGGTGTGTACACACTACAAAGGTGTTTAGATTCCACCCATAGATCATGCTGGGAGGGAACACACTACAGAGGTGTATACATGTTCGTGGTGTGTTTATAAGGTTAGTAAATCAACCCCTTTTTGTTCAATGTTTTTCCCTTTGTCCAGTATTGATCTTTCATGTCCAGAGCTGCTTAAGTAGTGATATTTCTAATATGATATTGTGCTCAGTGATGTCAGCATGGAATTCTTTTCTTCTGGCTGCAGATTATAACCACTTTCAATGCTGTAAGAAGAGATCTAGTGCTGGGCAAATAATTAAAGTCTGTATTCATTTCAAATGTGGCAGACAAGTATGAAATATTAAAAGTAGCTACTTAGGAAGTTTGGAGTGCCTTGCTTTTTGAGCTACCTGGCAGCCCCAGAAATTGGGCAGCAATAATATGCAAACATTGCCTGTAGATAGAAGCTTGGACCTTCAGCCATATCCACATATCACTATGATAGGCAGCTTTATTGGCCCATTGTAAAGCAAAGAGGTGGACCTAAGCTCATAATTTGCTAAGTAACCACCCTTTGGTATTCACAGCTGTTTTGCAAGGAATGTGAGCATTCGCCAGATACCTATGGGTGCCTGAATATTTCCTGCCTATTGAGAGCTTTCAAAATGCCAACAGAATCATGTACAGTATAGGCATGCTTTATCTGAAAAATAACCAAATGACTGCAGACAATGAAATAACAAACAAGCCAAGAGGCGTGTTTAAGTTCTCAGAACCCCAATTCTTTATTAACCACAGCTTGCTCACAATGACATACAGGAAATAGCACTAATGAAGAGTAGAATATGCAGGCAGCAATTTCAATGGGGCAATAAACAATTTCAAAATCGCAAGTATGTTCGACACTCGGCAGCTGTTAGGCAATTCCACACTTGGCACGTGCACCCTGTCTAATGATCCCTGTAGATTTATTCAGGTTTTGTTTTTTTTGCTTATAAAGGTAACCCTCATACTGCTGAGAAAAAGGCAAGTTTCTCCTGGTAGAACAAGTGATCTTACAGTCTTCACATAGAGGTGTTGTTAAGAGCATGTGTTATGTTGTAGAAAGAAAACCTTTAATGGCAACAGACATCATTAACGTGTTCAGTATAACAGATTTCAGGGCGCTATTGCTAGGAGAATAAGAGCCATTTTTGCATATTGGGGGGGTCCCTGTGAAACATTGTTGCTTCATCTTTTTTTCTATTTCTACTGGTGTATGTGAAAGTTATTGTGTTGAAAACAAAACCCTATTTGCCTATTGGCTAAATTTCACTTAATGACCAAAGAATTCTAATGGACCTCATGGCCGAGGGTGTCTGAAGAAAGTCCTAGTTATCCAAGGTTAACCAATCAGATCTCCTGCTTTGCCTTCCCATGCAGCACTAAAGACTTTACAAAGAAATATCTGAGTGGTAGCTATACCAAGGCTCTTCATTTAGACTTTAAACATAAAGCCCAAGTGACACCTACTGTCTGTCTGCTACAAATGATATAAATTCATGGATTAGCAGTTTAGCCTACACTGGAAACCACTGTAACGTTGTACCATGACACACAAGAAAAGGAGATTTTCATCATTTTTCTGACACAAAGAATCTGTATGGACAACAACATGTAGTAACATCATTGTACTCGGGATAGAAAGACTGAATTAACAAAGTGGAAAGATTATATAATATGTGCTATGGCTCAGTGATAGCCGGCCTTCCTACCACCACCAACCTTGTGAGTACTTGTACCTAGGTTACGTTCCAAAGAAAAACAGCAGGAAATGAGATTATCAGATCAGACATGGAATGCTGGGAGGATTCGGCAAACTCGATTCAGAAGAAACAGACAACACCTAAAGCCTGGTACAGGACATGTAAGATTATGAAATAACTTGCATAATGCAATACTTGTAATTTTTTAACAAAAATGTAAGTATTTACAAAATAAGACCCATTTTTTTTTCTTTTTTTAACATGAAGCAAATCATTCTGCAAAGAGACCAGACTTTTGAAGTTTTTTTTGTTCATAATGAGTTCTTGTTGGTTTTCTTCTTTTTGTGATGTCATACATTTTCCATATCGTTATCGCATGATCCGTAAATATAGGCAAATAAGAGACTAATGGTCGTCTGTGTTCAGCCAGAAAGTTCTTCCTGGATCTCCTTGTTCCTACGGACCAAAGCAGCATGCCTCTCCTGGAAAATAACACCAATTGAGGGTAAGGTATAGAATGAGAACTTTTTTAATAATGAATCCAGATCAAACAACTATACATTGCCCAGCAATGTATATCTTTATATCTTCCGCTGAGCATTTGTAGTCATCATGTTTAAGAACAGTTGGTACAGAGCAGTTTCCAGCAGCTGTCCATCTACAAGCTTGGAGAAGGTAAAGTGGGGAAACAGGAGGCCGGGGAATGGGCTGGCTTGCTTTGTGTGTGTGTGGAATCCTGTAGATATCTCACCACATTCCTGGCCAGTGCACCCCTTATAGAACGTTTACTGAAGTGGCTGTGGATGACGCCCCTTGGGTCCAAGAAGTAAATTACACCACCTAGGATCTGTGTCCAAAACTCCTTAATTGACATTCTAGCATTTTGTCAGGGAAATTACAAAATGCTTGAAAATAAATAAAGTAGGGCTGGTAATGATAAAAATTTTCGTGTTCGATTAATCGAATTTTAAAAAATCGAATAATCGATTAATTTCGATTAATTATAACGCACATACAGATCCAACTACATTGGCCTATACACATACAGCACAGCAATGAAGTGATAAAATGAACTAGGATCACATTAATCCAGCACGTTATTAATCTCATGTGCCCCACTCAATATGGCCGCCGCTTGAGTGGGGCAACTCAGAATAATAACGTGCTGGATTAGTGTGATCCTAGTTCATTTTATTACTTCATTGCTGTGCTGCATGTGTATAGGCCAACGCCTTGGCTGGCGCTCAAGCAGAAAGTTTCTTGGGCAAACTCACCGGCCCAAGTGGCTCCGTCGGCTAACGAAGGGGGGAGTAGTCCGGTGACGTCACGGACATCGATTTCACCGGACTCCTCCCCCTTTCCCTTCGTTAGCCGTCACGGACATCAACATCACCGAACTCCTCCCCCCTTCAATTCGTTAGCCGACGGAGCCACTTGGGGAAGGGGGGAGGAGTCCGGTGACGTCAATGTCCGTGATGTCACCGGATCGCCGATGGGACTCCCGGAAGCCGGCAGAGAGGTGAGTGTTTTCATTAGCGATCAAAATTATTTTAATCGATCAAAAAGTTTAACGATTAATCGACAAATTAATCTTTAATTTCCACAGCCCTAAAATAAAGGTGTTCTGGACACAGATCCCTGGTGTGTTGGTGACATACTTTACTTCTTATGTGCTTGTGAAGACACACACAGCTTACTTGCACACACAAGCATAGCACCATAGGACTCTGCAAGGGAAAGGACCAACACTAAAATAGGATATCAGGGCTGGTTACCAGCTGATTCTGCAGGAAACTAAAACTTTTAAACATCAAAAAGCAACATTCAGTGTAAGAGATTGCAAAGATACCGATACTAGTATTACTCGTACTCGACCAAATGCTCCGATACCGGGACTTGAGGTCAGAGGGAGCTTTCCCTCTGACCGCAAGTGCCAAGAGAGCATGGCACGTAATGACCCGCCTTCCGGCTTCCTGATTGGTCAGGAAGCCAGGTTTGCCTAGCAACAAGTGATGCTGGCTTCCTAGCCAATCTGGAAGCTGGGTCATGACATGCCTCCCGGGCTTCCTGATTGGCTAGAAAGCCAACTTCACCTATTGCTGGGCAGCCTGGCTTCCTGACCAATTAGGAAGCTGGACGGCACCTCATGACTCGCTGCCCGGCTTCCTGATTGGTCAGGAAGCCAGGCAGCCCCGGCATGAGAAGCCGGTGTTCCTTTGCAAGAACACCAGCTGCACAGGTAATCAGGAAGCCAGAGTGATGGGTCATGATCCGCTGCCCGACTTCCTGATAGTCTGCGGACAGGGCACCGGTACTCGGTATTGGCAAGTCCCGGAAAAAATGTATCGGTACTAGTACTCAATACCGACAAAACGGTATCAGTGCATCAATAGTTTTGACTTTAATATTACTTTAAATCACCTTTGTGAGATAACTTTTTGTTCCTGGGTCTATACATCTCCTTTCCCCACTTTCTTTATTGGATTTTTTAAAATTAATTTTATTACTATGGAGAATGCAACAGAAGGGGCTGGAACACACAAACGTGGTTGGTAACACCCAAAACTCTGAGGGGGACAGGAAGTCCAGACATATAAGACATGTAAAAAGCAAGGAGCTGACTGATCCTCAGTCTATTTTTCTGTGTCAATAAAACAGGGACGAGCTACTATTTCTTAGAATTTCCGTAACCCTGTATATTCCTTTTCTTTACAAAAATGACACAGCTCACAGAGCAGCTAAGGGCTTTGGCAATAACTTTTTACATTTATCGCCTTGGGACTTGATAAAAAAAGTGTCTCTCACATTTTGGCAGCACTTGGTCTTACCTTTTCTTGAAGACGTTCCATAAGGGAAGCTAGGTAGGCCTCACGGTTTTCCTTAATTTGTTCCATTTTCAGTATCAGTTTTTCCTCAGCCATTTTGCTAAAATTATTGTTTTCCTCCAGTGCCTTCTGAAGAACTTCCCTTTCATGCTCTCGTTTCTCTGCTAGTTGCTTCAGGATCTGGGCTTCCTGAGACTGTTAATATAAAACAGAATTTTAATTACAGCATCACATAAATTATTGTAATCTTTACATTAAAACTCCACTTTTGTACAGAAAAAAATCTCATGCAGTTTAGATATATACTGTATATTGCAATATTTTCTTAATCAAACTATATAGAACATGTTTTGCCTGCTTTTGTATTGTAGATGTTGAGATGGGTTACATCAAGACAATTGCATATTGAAAGTGCTAAGTAGGTGGGTCTATGCATTATACTGTAATAATATGATCAGTACGAGTTTTTTTATGAAGAAACTCTACACCCCTTTCGGCATCTTTGCATCATCTTTTCCAGGCTAAAGGTGAAACTCTTCATTTGGGGGTAGACCATTGCTGGGCACATTGTTAAAATACATGGGGAGAGGTATGGGCAGTGACATCATCCCCTGGGGTAGTGCCAGCACAGTTTCACACCAGAGCTTACCTAGGGTGTAGCAGAAAGTCAGTAAAGTAGTGTGGACTGGTGACTATACTTTGCTGCGGGGTTGGAGTATTAGAAGGTACTTTCAGTTTGCCCTAATGGGCAGGTGACAGTGTCTCTATATTCATGTAAGATGAGCAAGCACACTCATCATGTCTCTGTTTAGGATGTTTTAGCAGTTGGCTATGCTGCAAAACTGTGGCAGATTCTTAACCCACTGTCTGACTTCAAGAAGTGGTTGGCTTAAGGCAGCTGTAGACATAGAAGGCAATCAGAAATAGACAGTTTGATTTCACAAGAGATAGTGATTTGTTCTGGTGTGGGACTGTGGCTGTGTAATAGAGGTATACACTGGTAGGTGCCAGTAGTTGCAGAAGACAGGGTGATCTGTTCTTCTGAGGGTCGTTGCCTGCAGAACAAAGGTATACTCTAGTGGGTGCCAGAAGTTGCACATGGGAAGTTGATCAATTCTGGTGAGGGTTAGAGGTTGCATTAGAGTGGGTCTGCTCTGATGGTGCCAGTGGTGGATGGTCAGTAGCTAAATAAAGGGGTGGGGGGGTCTGCTCTAGTAGAGTTTGTGACTACATTTTGACCACACCTTCATTGTGCTGCAGTGTGCTTTGCACTTCCCCACCTCACACCTATGCCCATATTGCCCATTTTGTCCCTGACTTACAGACAAAATACCTTTCCCCATAATCGGCTAGACTGGAGAAATGCCTTGTCCTATATGTGGGTTCCTTTAGGCCAAGGTCATAGTAAGGGGCCAACTTCCAAAGCATTATAACAATGTGCATACTAACTGTAAAGATAACCAAAGCACTAGTAAGAACTATTATACTGGTCGTTTTTAATGTTTCCATTGATCCAACAGAGTCATTATAAAAGGCACAGAGAATTAGCTTGCATTGCTTTCTAATGAAGAGACATTAGTTACCTTTCTTCTCTCCTCTGCTGCCTCCAGTTTTGCCTGAATATCTTCTAGAGAAACATCCTTCTTCTTTGGCGAGGCCAAAATTCGGGGCACCTCAGAGACGGGGGACGGGGGTTTCAGTATCAGCTCAAATGCCTGACCAGATGCACGCTTGTTAATCTGTTTCACTTCCATATCTACAGTAGAACAATTAAAATGTGGTTAGAATGATGAATACAGACTCCATTACTATTTCATTATTTGATGTATGTGCAGGAGTTATATCATCAATGGCTGCCGATGGCTAGAGAGAAGCAACATGGGATCCAATGAGTGGTGGCAGCAGGGGAAAGAGCAGCAACAGGGAGGCTGGACTTGCCATGGATGGAGGAGGGCGCATTATTAGGTAGGTATCCCTTAATAATGTGCAAGTATGCACATGCATTATGGAAGGAACCCACCCCTTACTGCTGACTTAAGTTCCACTTTAAAGCATGCTAATGTGGCCTTGGAACCAGTATTACTGTGTGTCATTTAGCATGCCTTAAGCAGTATTTAGCACAATTGCAGCTTGGTGAATCGGGGCCATTTTTTTTGACAGGAATAGCTGTGATATCAGAATTCAGACTGCAGAAGATATCGAGAACTGCAAATCCTGTCCCTGTTAAAACCAATAATATACTTGTTTTAATGGAAGCTTGTCTTAAGATAAATACATATGCTGGCAATCCTGATCTTCATCTGAAAATGCTAGTTGCCTGAATATTAATCAGGTCCTATAGCTTCAATATTTTTTTGGCCATTAATCCAGAACAAGTTTGCACAGCAGGCGTTTTGATTTGACTGGCATTTGGTATTCTAACTTAATGATCAGCTTGTGAATTTACTAGATATATTACTGTAGTATGGGCCACTTTGTGTCTTATTTATATGTCATGTCAGAGGTTCTTCGTACTTGACCCACTGTGGTATTATAAAATGTACAATACTTAACCTACAAAAAGTGGTACAACTGATGACTTGCACTGAATGTATAGAACTTAACTGGTTATGGGTGAAAAAACAATAAATGTACCTTTACTGTAATGTACTTACCATCATATGTGTACGCATTGAGATTTCGGGGCTCAGGGTTGAAACAAGAGCAGATCAGTGACAACATGGACAGCTCCTTCATTTTTTCTTTGTAGGCTAAGGAGAAAAAAATAGAAATGATGTTTCTTTAAAAATGCCAAAATTATATTATAACTTCATACAATAAAAAGATTAGTAAAACAGGCATGAGAGCAAGTGCTTTATTGGCTGTAATTCTAAAACGTATAAGCTTACAGATGGTAGCCATTGTCCAACATTATTAAAATATAGAAAAGCCACTTTACTGCCTAATATGGATTTCTGTATACTCATTGTGTAAAGTATCTATCCTGCATAACAGCTCTGGATATAGTAGGCACTCTCAGGACTTCTAAAGAAGAATAGAAGTGATTTTAAGGTAGTTTTATTACAGCAACATTTAGGCGAGTCAGAGCCCATCATTTTCAGGACAATGGGGTCAATTCACAAAGAGAAACGTTATTGGTTTCCTTCAGTTGTTAAATTACCGCCCCTTATTTAACGTTAGCAAACATGGTATTCACGAAAGCTATAATCGTTATTCAAGATGGTCGTTATGGTTTTCTACTGACTCGTTATCCAATCGTTATGCTAATGTTTTAAACGTAATAATAACGTCTATGATCGTAAAATAACGCTTGAGAGATGCATTCTGGGAGCAGAAGGGGCATTCTGGGAGCAGAAGGGGAGGAGAACAGTGCTTCTTACAGAGAAATGAATCATGGGAGATGTTAAACGGAATTTAGCTATCACCTGGGTTTCAGAAAAGTAATCCAAAATAGTGCGAGAACGGAATACACGTTTATAAATCAGAACAACATACTGATGTGTTCTTCTTCGGCTCTGGATAGTTTTAAGTTCAAATAGAGCACACCCAAATGGTTCCATCTTGCCCCAAACTACCAAACACTTTCACTACAAAACTGAAGAACTGAATTTTTGTCGCCAAAAGCTTCCTCTAACAAAGAAATACCGCCAGGGAAATGTCATAACGACACCCTGAGGGTGGTGCTTATGTAACGATTGCTTAACGATCGATATCTGGCAAAAAAATCTTTGTGAATTGCACTTCTGTACATATTTAACGATTTGACTTGTTAAAACAACGATCGAAACGTTTAATAACGATCCACACCTTAAAATATCGGTTCCGTGTAGTGAGACGTTATTTGATGATTTTTCAAAGCGTTAAATCGTTTGGTGAATTGAACTAG